CAAATAGGAGCACCTGGAATGGCCCGGGCAGTTAAAAGAAACCTTGCTCTTCATACCATCAATGAGTGGAAGGCATACACGCTCTTTGTCTTATTGCTATTTTTCATTTCAGCTCCTTAGCTATCACTCTTGTGTTGCAGACTCACTTTGTTGTTGTTGTTTAGTCGTTAAGTCGTGTCCGACTCTTCGTGACCCCATGGACCAGAGCACCCCAGGCCCTCCTGTCTTCCACTTCCTCCTGGAGTTGGGTCAGATTCATGTTGGTCCCTTCGATGACAGTCTCCAACCATCTCGTCCTCTGTGGTCCCCTTCTCTCCTCTTGCCTTCACTCTTTCCCAACATCAGGGTCTTTTCCAGGGAGTCCTCTCTTCTCATCAGATGGCCAAAGTCTTGGAGCCTCAGTTTCAGGATCTGTCCTTCCAGGGAGCGTTTCCTTCTAGAAACTTCTTATTCACTCCTCTTCCTCCAGCTTTCTCTGTCCTCACAGTCAACCCCCCCCCCGCCCTCCTTTGGGGCAAGAGAAAGGGGGGCACAGAGCATCCATCGAGCAGGGGCTGAGCCAGAAAGCCTCCTCCCACCTCCACGCTTTGGGGCTTGGAAAGCCTTCTCCCCTCCCGCCAGCAGGTGGCGCCGTGGCCGGCAGACGCGAGCTCCCCGCGTGGGTTCCGCTCTCGGCCCAGGACCGGCACGCGCCGGATGAAGCGTCAGGCCAATCGGATTCGCTGCCCCGCCCCTCCGCTTTCCTCCGCCTCCTCCTCCCCCTCCGCACTCCCTCGCCTCGCTTCCGATACCAGACCCGGAAGTGCGCTTAACCCCTTCCTTGCCCAGGCTGGTTCTGCAAAGGGGAAAGAGCGACGTCCCCGGCCCCCCAGTGGCGGGGCGGACTGGGTTGAGAAAGGATATTTGGGGGGGGCGGTAGAGAAGCCAAGAAAAGTTACTTTTTCTGAAATACCCTGCGCCAAATCCCTCTGTCGCCATGATGCAGGGTAGTCCAGAAAAGTAACGTTTTTGCTCCTTCAGAAAAGTAACGTCTTCTGCTGCTGGTCTGTTGCGGGGGGGGGGGCTTCCCGAGGTGCTACTTTGCTGCAGCAGAAGGACAGGAAAATGCTGAAATGACCTCCCACCCCATTACAGGGGCTGGGGGAGACTGAGAGGCAATAAATGGCTTTTTAAACACTATAACTCCCAGAAAGAGTTCTGGGGGGGAGTCCGCGCCTCCCCATCTCTGTCTAGACTGGGGTTGGCAGCCAAGGAAAGAGTCCAGAGACCCAACCCCGAGGGACTGAGTTCTGTCCCAAGCAGAGTCCCTGGGATTTTGGGTCTCCCCAGGGAAGGTGACCATTCTCTGGGTCTGGGTTCGAGTCTTTGGCCCTAAGCCCTACTAAAAAGAAGCCTCCTCCCACCCAGAAAAAAAGCAAGGGGGTGGGTGGGTTAGGGTTCCAAGTCGCGAGTCAAGTCCAAGCCAAGCCCCCAGTGGGCCTGATTCTGACTTGACCCTGAGTCCCGAGTCCCCATCTGGCTGGAGGGAGGGGGCACCAGGCCAGCCCTCTGGATTGCAGCCAGTCTTGTTAGAACGGTGCCAGGATCTCAATCTGATCTCAAAAGGTCAAAGGGTCACGTTTATAGCGGTACAGAAACGAGATGACCCAAGCGGCTCCCAATCCGGAGTGGCCCCAATTCCTGCAGGGGAACTCCTGGAAAGGCAGCCTTCTGGTCTGGGTCCCGTCCCTTTGCCCCTTTTTTCCTGGGTGTGTGTGTGTGTTTTAAGAGTGGTGAATGTTGCTTAAATCTTTGCCCCGGTTTATCGTGGGGGGGGGGGTTGCTTGTTTTCACTTCCCCTGAGAGTTAAGCCTTGGTTTGATCTGGAAGCCACTTATTTGTCTCTCCGGTGTCTATCTGTAAAGCTCTCCTCCGACACCACATTCTGGATTGCTCCACGTTGCCTGGAGGGCGCCAGGCTGGGGCCTCGTGGTGAACGGGATGGGGGGGCTGGCCTGGTGAACGGGATGGGGGGGCTGGCCTGTGGGGTTTGACCCACAACGACTGTGTCCTATTCACAAGCGATGGTGCCTTAACGTGTGGCCTGCAGCTTGTTCTTTGAGGAGGAAGCTGGCCGATGCAACGGCCCCCTTGCTTTATCCAGGCAGCCCTCACTTCTCTCCCCCCCCCCCCCCCCTGTCTTTTGGGAACG